AGCAGGAACTCCATTTGAAAAAGAATGGCACAATGTGGTCCATGAAACCTACATCAAGTCATCTTGGTTTAATGTACAATCCTGCCTTTCAGGTATCTGTGAAAAAAGGCCTCTAAAAAGAGAGAGAAGAGGAGAGGGCAGGGCACAGGGCTGTTTTACATTACCAACTCTTGACTTTATCCTATTTGCTGTTCTCCTGCTACAGCTTCATCTTTGGCCTGCTTTGCAATAATTTAAGCCAGTTTGCAACTTGATATCTCAGCATGCACATCTTAATGCATAAACACAGCAGAATTTATAGATTCTGAAATGACAACTTTAACTTTTAGTCTCCTTCATTTTAGTTTTTATCCTGGACTTAAAGTATGAAAAATGACATTTTAAAAAGTGACCTGATTTTCAAAGGGGTCATGCACTAACAGCTAACAGTTCTGCAGGATTCGGCATCTTAAAATTAGACCTTTCAAATAGGAGTCAAAATAAAGATACACGTTTCCACATTTTGAAAAAAAAAATACTTTAAAGACAAGTTATTTGATTGTAGCATTTTTGCACTAACTCTGTGGTGCAACACAGCACCTCTGACTCAAGCTCAGAAGGTTGCATGCTCAAATCACAATGGGCTTTCCCCCCCAGCTCCCTGCTAGCAGGTAGCGAGGAGCTGCACAGTGCTCTAGGGGGTGCCAGGTGTGTTCAATAGGCACTGATGGCGGGGGGGGGGGGGGAGGATCTGCATCAGTCTTAGTCGGGGTGAGGGTTGGTGGGGGTGGGTGATGGATCAGGGGGAAAACTCCTGGGTCAAGTCTTTTCAGGGGCCTGGGACTATAGGCTATGCTAATGGGAAGAGGGATGATGGGCTTAGCTCAAAAGAGCCTTCTAAGGACAATGGAGAAAGCCTTTTTATGTGGCCTTGTGGTGCAATGGCAGCATATGTGACTTCAGATCAGATGGCTGTGTGTTCAAATCACACCAGGGTCACTTCCTTTTAAAAAAAAAATGATGTGTTGCCAGCAGATCCAGGGAGGTCTCTATTCTATGTTGGTGAGTCCATAGATGGAGTACTGTGTCCAGTTCCAGGCACCATACTTCCAGAAGCATGTGGATAAGCTCAGGAGGTTACAAAGAAGGGGCACCCATATGATTAAGGGCATGGAGGATAGGCCATATGAGGAGAGACTCTGGAAACTGGGCCTGTTCAGTCTAAGTAAGAGAAGGCTGAGAGGTGACTTGATAGCCACCTACAAGTATGTCAGAGGTGAGCATCAAGACCTGGGGGATTAACTCTCCAGGAAGGCACCTCAAGGCTAAGATGAGGACCAATAGGCATAAATTGATACAGGGTAAATGGCAGGGGACCAGACTTGCTGATCTTACAGGTCCCTCCTGATCCTTTGATTCTATGATTCTATTTATGGACATGTGCATATAGTATTGTTTGTTTTTAAGGGCTTTCTACCCATTCATTAAATAATTCATTTGTATATATTTACTAAACATTTTAACCACTATTTCAGGGTTTGGCCATATTTATAGTAACTTGTTTTTTGTGAATCACATGCTAATAGCAGGCTTCTTTCATTCATGGCTAAAAAAATATTATTTAGAGGTTTGCTTTTGGGAATTGGCTTGTAGGTAAGTTAGGTATTGTATTAAAACAATGCTCCAGGGCAGAGGCAAGGTTAATTGATTTCTGAAAGCCTGTTTGTGAAAGTTTCCTCCAAGTCCCACTATGTCTGACACAGGCAAGCAGCAAGCAGACACACAGACTGGGAAATTGAAGACATGCACCGTGCTGTTCCATAACAGAGATAAGGAACTCTGCAGCATTGGTGCCAGTTCACAGTGCTCACTGCAGGGCCCTTGGGATTTCCGGTTTTGGTGAACAGACCACATTAGGAGGAGAACAGTAAAAGCCCGAATTAGGATGTGTGCATGTGATGGGTTTGTGAAAGAAAGGCATATGTTGGCAGGACAGAATGTGGACAGTATGATGACCATAGGAAGACCAATCAACAATGCCCAGAGATGAAGAGTCATCATAGGAGAGAAAATAATAAAAAAGGAGGGATTTCAGAGCAGCATGGGGTCCTCAAGAGGGGAACCCAAGGCCACTATGGACAGAGGACATACCACCAGCCTATCTCACCCACCCACAGCGGGGGGTGGACCTCAGCCTTAGACCTCCAGGCTGCTGACATATGACATTCAAGGAAGGACCTCAGGGTGAAGCTCGTGTACTGGCCAGGTTTACCTTCCCTCTGATGACAGCCCTAGGGCTGGTAGCTATAGAATTGTTTGCATTATTCTTATCTGCTATCACTGTATATCAATAAAATTCACCTATTATTGAATGGAGAGGTCATGATCGGCCTGAGGTTTTTAGGTCCACCCACAACAAGGTATCTAGGTCATAAATCCATTCCCACAGTCATGTGAAACATTAGGTTTGTACCAGGACAATTGGTGCTTTTCTGCTAGAAACTAGGAGTGTACAAGCCATTCATTGAATTTGTCCCAGAGGAAACATTCCCCATCTAGGATAAACATCATCCAGATTGACATCTGGAAGATCTCCTCCACAAGAGGGTTTCTTCTCCATGAATGAATGTTTATAGGCCACTATTGTCTTTTTTTTTAAATAGAAGCATCTTATTGTAAAGTAAGAGACTACAAGAGCTGCAGAAAACAGGCAATCCCTTTGCCAGAATGATTAAGGGATCTAGTCTACTAATATCTTTAATTTTGATGTGCCAAAATTCCAAGTACTGGGCCTGTCCAAAGTAAAGAATTCAACGATGGCACATGTTGTGGCTTCTTATGTTGATGTGACTTGCTCAACTCATCTACACTTTAGTCAAAAGCAGAATTTAAATCTGCTTCCAGAAGCTGAAGACTGGTGCCATCTTGCATTCTGTTACTAGGCATACTCTAGTTTTATTGTTACTTTTTTGGTATTGAGATTTAACACATCCACATACAAACAGAAAAGAACTGTTGATGGTATTGTACAATATAAGTATTTGTATTACTTAAGTAATGTAATATTTTGCTATTATACATTATCTTTTAAACTAATGAGTCATGAATCCAGGACCTCTGATGCAAATCAGAAATAAGATTGGCACCAAAGGTGTTAAAGACTTAACGTCTATGAGGAATGGAATATCTTCTCATTCACAGATACGACTATCATAGATACCATTTCTAACACAGCTGCGGTGTCCAGACTTTCAGGGTTGTCCTTTAGCCCCAAACCTCTCTCTGCTGTTCTGATTCTTGACTGCTGAGATTTGCCTAACTGGGCTAATTTCATTTGAATCTGAGCTCCATCTGTGCCAACCCAGGCTCTACCAGCTCCAGCAGAAGAGATTTTGCCATCTTAAAGAATCACCCTTTTATCTGGCCTTTGTAAAATTTTGTACGTCCTCATCACAAGTTTCCCACATTGTCAGTTGGTCTTTAATCACACTTTCTATAGACAATCAGAAAGGTATAAGAAATAGAAAAAAAGTATTATGTAAGATAAATAACAAATATGGAAAATAACAATAAAGAAATATTGTAAAACTTGCACCCTGCATTACTTGTTAGAATACAGAGCCAAAGTTTCTGCAGGTGGCGTGTCATCTTGTACTACCCAGCTTCAGCCAGATGAGTGACAGTTATCCGAAGTCAATGGATCTTTAAAGGCAACTTCTATCGCAACTCTAAAGCAGAGAGAGATAGTTATCCATGTCAGTCTGAAGGCTGAAGTTCGGGGAAAGGGACTCTTTTCTCAGTATCTGATCAAGTAAACTGATACTTACAAAAGCTTATGTTATGTAAGCTCTGACTTATTTTGGCTATAATGTGCAAATGTACACTGCCTTCTGCCTAACTTTTAAGCACCCAACCTAATCTGTTTATCTACATTCTTCTATTCAGTTCTTAGAGAGCATCTGTATATTGAGCAGATAACTTCTTCCTCCAGATATGCATTTGTTTATCAGGCTAGATGTCTTTTCTGATCCAATTATATCTAGAAAATATTTACATTTTCTGTACAGACAACTAATCCAATATCATGAGTTATCAATTGTTCCAAAGAGATAAAGTCTCTCATTTATTCCATTCAAGGGTGGCAAATACCAGTCCTTTACAGACTTTTTCCAACTAATGGCTTCCCCCTTTGAAACATAAACCGCAGTTGTTTTAGATGGCTCAAGTACCACTGCCCTGTGTATGTCTTTTCACAGCATCTGATGAAATAACCTAGGGTTCATAAAAACTCATGCTATACATCTATGCATGCTGTAGTTAGTCTGTAAAGTGAAAATCTATCCCTGATTTAATTAGTTTTTATGGTGACAATTTACTTTGCTTTCTGCCTGACTTCAGATTAACCCAGTTAATAACCTTTCTTAAGTACCCCTACCTGACACCTACTTGGCTGACCAATATCCATAGTCATCTAAAATGCAAATTCTCAGAATTTACTCATGGGATATGAGAATAGTATTGTCTAAAGAGGAAGGCTTTTGATATGGTCTAGAAAGGAAGGCTTTAGCAAGGATTTGATAGAGTCCCCCACAACATTCTCACAGGCAAGCTAAGGGGAGTACAGATTGGAAGACTGGACTGTAAAATAGAAAGAAAACTGCCTGCATCATCGGGTTCAGGTGGTAGTAGTCAATATCAAATTGAATGCCCCAGGAGTTGGTCCTGGGTTCAGTTTTGTTCAATATCTTCATTAACAACTTGGAAGATGACATGGATACACCTTCAGCAAGTTTACAGATAACACTAAGCTGGGAGGAGTAGTAGATACACTGGAGGGTAGGGTTAGGATTCAGAGAGATTTAGACAAATTGTAGGATGGACCAAGAGAAAGTTCATGAGGTTCATTAAGGACAAATCCAAAGTCCTGCACTTTAGGACCAAAAATCCCATGCACCTGTATAGGCTGGGGACTGAGTAGCTAGGCAGCAACCTTGTACAAAAGGACCTGGGGTTACAGAGAAAAATAAACTGAATATGAGCCAATGACAGTGTGCCCTTGTTGCCAAGAAGGCTAATGGCATACTGGGCTGCATTGGTAGCAGTATTGTCAGCAGATCAAGGGACGTGATAGTTCACATCTATTCAGCACTGGTGAGGCCACATCTGGCGTACTGTGTTCAGTTTTGGGCACCCCACTATGGAAAGGATGTGGACAAATTGGAGAGAGTCCAGCGGACGGCAATGAAAATGGTGAGGGAACTGGGCTTATTTAGCCTAGAGAAAAGAAGACTGAGGTCGGATTTAATAGCAGCCTTCAACTCCCTGAAGGGGGATTCCAGAGAGGATGAAGTCTTAATGTTCTCTGTGGTGACAGATGACACAAGGAGCAATGATCTCAAGTTGCAGTAAGTGAAGTTTAGGTTAGATATTAAGGGAAAAAAAAACAAACAAACCTCTCACTAGGAGGGTAGTAAAGCACTGGAACAGGTTACCCAGAGTAGCTGTGGAATCTCCATCCTTAACGTTTTTTTAAGGCCTGGCTAGACAAAGCCTTGGCTGGCATGATTTAGTTGGGGGTGATCCTGCTTTGAGCTGAGGGTTGAACTATATGAATTCCTGAGGTCCCTTCCAACCCTAATTTTCTATGATTATATGAACACTTAATACAACACCTTATTGCCATTTTCAAACTTTATAAAATGGCAAATTACAATTATACCCAAAACTATGATTTACACAAACATAAAAATGATAAAACTGATTGTGGCTTAACATTACCTTTGAGTAGACAGTATACATTGCATGAGTTCAGTATATGAACTCATTCAAGAAAATATCTATGCATAGCATTCCATGAACACCCCAAAACATTTCTGCTTTTGACATGGGTTTATGATAGTATTGTATCTAGAGAAGGAATATATGTCTACCTTTTGAGTCAAAAGATGGTCCAGTTGAGCTATTGTTGTTTGTATAGTGTTGACAATGGGGTGAGTGCT